TCGCTCCGCAGCAATTACGTCATGTCGAGATATCCTATACTGATTACTTGCAGCTAATTCAGGGCAGGAAAAAACCAAGGGCATAGAAATTTTGCTCTTGGGCAAGTGAAAATAGAAGTTCAGTGACCCGCTGGGCAAGTGAAATTAGTCTTTGTCAGTATTTTTGCAAGTCTGAATAAAATGTCAGCTTGATAAATAATAATTTCCAGTCAGAAGCTTTTTGAAAACTTAAGACTGAAAGATTAGTTAACCATTAGGTTGAAAGCATGGCTAGCATTAGTTAGGAATCCAAGCATTCTTTGTTCACATTTGCTCTCTGATTGCCATATTGGCTGCCACGTTGGCAAGTAATATTTAAGTGGGGACAGATGAAAACAGAAATTTACCGGTCCACTAGGCAAATGGATTTTAATTTTTTTTTTTTTCCTCTGCTGTTAATAGGATCAAAATGAGTGATTGCAGGTCAAATTCATGTTGCAAAAAGGAAATATTTTTGTCTCAGGACTGAAACATGCTGCATTCATAGAGCAGCAACAGATCCAGGGATGAGGGCTGTAAGTACATCACTTGCAAAAAATTTCAGGCAATTTTAATTTCGGACAAAAAAAGTGTCCAAAAATAAAACCGCCTGAGATTTTTAAGCATCCAAAATTTCAAACATCCGAAATACAGTTGAAATGCGCTATTTCTCACTCCCAGAGGAAACAAAAAATAGTTCAAAATAGTGGGAGTTCGAAATAACCTATAGTAAATGACTGTAGGGGCAATCCAAAGGAACTGGTTTTGAGTTAAAAAAAAACACAGTATTCAAAACAACTGAGTTCAAATTAGCAGGATCCAAATGTATTTACAGTTCAGTGTAAAATTTTAAGTAGCTTCAGAGCTCTTAGTTTCTTTTAACGGCTTGATAAAATCTGCATTATTTTCTCATCAGTGTATTGTTTCACGTGGGAATACATGTATGTGAAGTTGAAATCAGGTCGGGCTGAAGGAACATGTATAGTCATAAATTTGCTTCAAAAAGCTCTCATTGCCCAAACCATCACATTCTCACATTGTTGACCGTGTGAGAATTTAAGCTCTCAAATCTCACAGCTACTTTCCAGTCAGTCTTATGAGTGGGACTTTAAGCTCACAAATCTTGCAGATATCTTTCAAGACGAGACTAGCATTGCTTTCCTTCATCGCCGGCAAACATCCGCTAAGTGGGAATTTAAGCTGGCAAATCTCATATATATTTTCTATCACAACCCATCATGAAATCCAGCAAATTTACTGAGGGAGGAAAACAGCCATAAATTTGCTTCAAAAGTTCCTATCGCCTCCTCTCGATATTCCTTGAGACTGGAATTATTGATTGTTATCAATTTTTGCCAATCAATAGCAATGAATGAAGAAATTTTTCTGTGAGTTACCTATTGATTATTATCGATTGCCAGTATGAATCGATAGCAAGAGGCGATTGATATTGATCGATTTCTGATATCGATTTTTATTGATTGACTAAGCCTAGCAATCTTGAACGCATGACAAACCGCAAGCGAACAATATTTAGTTGTTCAAACAGATACCCACTGGTGTACTTTCTCAAGTAAGAGGTCATGATTGTATTTTTCAAAGAGAGAAAATTTAAGATCTACAGTTGAGGATTTGATTGTTTATTCAAGAATGAATAAATTATGTCACCGCGTCAACATGACATGACCGGTCAACATGACCAGCAAGTGAAGTTTTCGGCTGGTCAAGTCACCATTCTGGCCAGACATTGTTCGTTGACCAGCTGTTACTTTGAGCCCTGCCAGCAAACCAATATTTCTAATCGCCGCCCATCAAAAACGTACTGAAAAACAATGAAACCAAAACTCCCTGAAATCACTTCTATACCAATAATATGACCTAAATCTCTACAGCAACAACCAGTAGGAAAAAGATAAACAAATGAAGCCATGGAAGGTGTTTTTAGTGTATTTCTTTTCTGCAGTGAAAAATTTGAAGCTGAAAATTTGAAATTTGAACCAAGTGAGGAATTTTTGTGTCACTTTGACCCAATAGTAGCAATGTTACTCTCGCTATCAATACAAATTTTAATTAACATGAACCACATTCTGTTAATTAATTTAATTAATTTTGCTAGTCACCCTAAATCCGATTCTAGTGATACCTAACCACTTACAGAAGTCAAAACAAAGAAGCAATCTTCTTGGTTATTTCAGGATCTCAAGTGATGACCTGGCTGCAATTCAAAATCTAATTTCCTGTTTGGAAATCTAATTTCCTGTTTGTTTGGCAGGCAACTGATCTAATGGAGCATACCACAGAACATGCAGAAAAACTGGCCACAAAATCGGAAGACTGTATCACAACTAGTTCTCTGTTGAGCAAGTGTTTAATTCCATTGAAAATGATGTTTTATCGAGGACTTGTAGCTTTCAAGCTGGTATACATTCAAATGAATCTCCTGCCACTACAGTGGTTATCAAGCTCACTGATCTCAAAGACACAGCATACAATGACAGCATGTGGCTTGCAAGTATCATTTTTTACTTCCTTTTGGGAGCTCACAGAGTACAGCCCTCACAGGATGTTTTACAGTAGTCTGTAGTATAACAGGGAAACAAACAAACTTTCTTATGCTACGTAGCAAGGATCATGTATGTACACGATACTTCGCCTGCAAACAGGCTCTTGGGAAAAAAATCTGTGGGAACCAAGCAGCCATTTATCAATTGTACATGTAGCTGTGAATATTGCCAACAGCAAGTGCAGTTTGATGAGCAAAAAGCAAACGACTGGATCATGCATTAATTATGCAGCAGATATAGGACCAGCAGCTGATAAAGTACTATTTGTTTACCCAACCACAATAAAATGACTATGTAACCTCAGGTTTCAAATGTTTTATATCAAAATCATTACCTGTTTGCCCCTGAAGAACAACCTTTGCATATTGGGTGGTACTTCAAATGGTCCTTCAAGCTTCTTCCGCAGCTCCTCGATTTTTGTAAGCTTACTCAGATTATCCACCTGTGCACTTCTTTTACCATCCATTGTCCTCACTTGGATCCACATGATGACGGCTATAAAATCCACAAAAAGATAAAACTTTATGTATTATCTTATATTCAGCTGCATAGAGTAGGTGCCTCAACAAATGACTGAGCAAACACAATGGTCACGACTGGTAGAATTTGACCTCCACCCACTTTGGACATAAATGGCTTATCACATGTAGCATGGATGAAATATTTTTCATCACGAAAAATTGGATCATTGGATAATGCAATTCAAGAGTTTTCATTGGCTTAGCCATCATGGTATGTTGGCAATAATACCATGCTCTACAAAATAATATGGTAAACGAACGCGTAATTCTCTGGGGCAATTTTTTTTTATCTTATTTTAGTTTTCTATATTTGGTGGGCATTTTTAATAAAACAAATATTCCACTCGCATTCGTTGGATATGAGGAAATATAGCCAACGAAGCGTACAGCACCTCATTGGCTACCTATCATCTCATATCCAACACGCATTACTGGAATAATTATTACATACACAGAAATTACGTTTAATTACAATTCTAAATAAGAAAGTAGCTTCTGTACAATTCTCAAACCTAGGCTAAATAATCTGTACATGAGAACATATTGTAATACCTGTATTTCATTGACTTCAAAACATAACAATAACAACAAGGTTCAAGGTTACAGAAAAATTATTGTTGATCATGTATCTCGAACCTTTTCAAAACATATGTTCAACAGTAAATTAAAAGTTAAAGTGATTTCGTGTTTAATTCGATTTACAACATGAACATCCTCCAAGGAATTCTTAAAAGCAAGAAGGACCAAGGAAATCTTATACAATATTGCACAATGGTGTATAGTTAATATACACAATTCTCCAGAATAATTTGCATGCAAATCTGCCCGGGAAACCTTTTCTCAAATGATGCATGCTTCAGTAGTCACACCAATGAATATCTGATATATTTCACTACAAGCACGATTTGCATCTATGTGGATGTGACAACTTGCTAACCACAGCAATTTAAAAAATTTCATTCCTGGGCTTTGTCCCAAGAATTGCCCCTAATTGATGTTCACGGGCACATCATCTGTGTTGAACAACATCGAGATGGCAATATTTGCTTTATTTGTGACCTAACATAATTTATGACTTGTGCCAAAAAAGGAATGCTTACAAGTGGCCTCCAAGCCAGACAGCAAAGGGAAGAGAACTAATTGAGACAGTTTAAGATAAGACGCTTTTCGTTTTGTATCAACTTGACTGCCCAGAGTGAATAGATATGCTTGATGGGTGAAAAAATATGCTTGGCAAAATGATGCAACATTCGTTTCCCACCGAGGGAAAATGGATGCTGTTTTTCATCGCGTGTTGATGTAAGCTTACAGCGATGCAATTCATTTCACACCCATGCCGTGCCAAAATGTCAAGAGCTTTAGAACACAAGTTCTTGCAAAAGGTCCTTACGGTAAAACATTACCCGAAGGCTAAATCCTACCGAAGACAGATTAATCTATTAAAAGGTCAGAAACGGACAAGTTAGAACGATAAGCCCTGTTGTTTTTAAGTAACAGGAGACACCACCGCAAATAAACACCAGCTATCTTAGGAACTAAGTGACGCCGGGAGTGAAGCACGACTAACTTGCTTTCAAATCGTTACAACGCTGACAAAACGCGTGAATATACCTACATCAATGCAAAAATGACAACAGGTCCTTGAAAATCCCAATAGTCGAGTAGTTTGAGCTTAAACTAATGTTGTTTTGCTACTGTGCGATGAAAGCTGGAGCGCCAGGAGAGGTCGATCATGTGCCTGCCGACATATTTGGCATGTACATGTAACATACGCATAACTAATTTACCACTCTAAAGATGTTCTTTGATCCTAAGTGTACCTTAGATTTACGTATTAAAAGCTAAAGAGAGATAAATAACAGCTGCCTACCGTAGAATCGATTCAAAAGTTCCTCTGAATCTGCAAAATGTTGTTTAATTTGACCTCAAATGAGCATGTGAGCTGAATTCCAACTCGAATATTGGCGCGAATCCGGGACATGGGTATGAGTCACATGGTGTAAACTGAGAAACTGGCGGGAAAGCTGCACGGCTGTTTCAAGATGACGTTGTGTAAAGTGAATTGAAATGTCTCTTTTCGAATATCCTGGTCCCAGGTGACAGCCGGGTAATAAACATGGCGGACAGAGGTGAGCTTTTCTTGTGAAATATAATTTCGTGTAGATATTCGCTGATAATTATATCTTTCGTCACAGGAATTCAAACACAGCATGGTTTGGAGGTCTTAGCTTTTCCAGAGCAGCCCGCCAAGGAGTTCTCGAGTCTGGAGCTTCAAGTTCCGTGTATTTTCTGTGACAAAGAATTTCCAAACACAACAGGAAAGAACGATGCAGTACTCCATCACCTTCTAGTAGAACATCAGCTGGTCATTGGAGATGTAGCTCAAGTTTGTGACTTAAGGAGGTATGAACTGATTTCAGAGGTACTAACAGACGAACATGTAGCCTGCGACAAGGCTCACGTTTTCACGTTTTAGAGGCAAACTGGCAATATAGTCGAACCTCCCCTAAAGGCTACCTCTCCACAACGGCAACGGCCACGGCCACAAAATAAATCGCGTCTCTACAGAAATCCTTGAAAGTTTGCTTACCTCTAATCCTGCAGAACCCTGTGTTTTTCTTTTCTGCATGCAGATATTTGTGTCACTGGAAAACAAGATTTAAAGGAAACCCCATCACAGATTTTTGTCCTGTCATCAACATCAATTCAAAACCTGAGGGTAAGAAACTGCTTTGTAACCAGCTATTTTTATGCCTCTATTCTTAACTATTTCGACCTGGGCTTAAATATTTGTTAAATTTCATGTATATTGTTTTGCATCTTGTTACTTTTTAAGTATTTTTCGAGAGTATGTNTAACAAACTTAAATAGAATTTATTGTTTGCAAAAGCGGGCTGTGCGAGCTATTACCAATTCAGATTATAGAGCACATTCTGCTCCTTTATTCTCCAAATTAGGAAAATTAGACATTTATCAAATCAACACTTTTCAAATAGCTAAATTTATGTACTGTTATCATAACAACCTGTTGCCTCCATTGTTTTTAACTTGTTTTTTACAAACAGTCAAATTCATGGTTATAGCACCAGAACAGCCAATAATTATCACGTGCATTATTGCCAGGCTAATCTAAAAAAATTCACAATTCTTTACCAAGGTCCAGAGATCTGGAATTCCCTTCCTGTTACAATCACTTCATTGTCAAGTTTTCCCAGTTTTAAGAAAAAACTGCTAGAGTTTTTTAGTAAAATAATTACTGAACTGGAAAAGCCGCACACTGTTGCACTATTTATGTAACTGTATTGCTACGTAGGAGGTTGCCTCAACTAAAAGCCTGATGGTTTCTAGAGTTCACCTCGCCTCACATTAAAACATTTATAAATACTGTATATTAACTAAAAAAGGCAAATAAACAGAATGAATGAATGAATGAATGAATCTAACCCGCACCCAGAGGCATGTTTTTGTGACTTGGTACGGAGTCATGTTCAGGCTGGTCAGAGATCTTTGCCTGGAACAGTTGGCAGGTATAGAATGTTAGGGTACATCTTGAGGCAAATTACCTGTGGTATAGCCATGCAATGAGTTCTATTTTCTCATTATGCATCCTTCCTATTGTAGTAGCTTAAGTCTGGTATTGGTCACATGAACTTCTCTTCTCCCTATGTTTGACAACTTCACAGCCTTGTCATAATTACCTCTCTCTATCATAAGTCAAGAAACATTTTAATTGCCTGTGTTAAAAAATTAATACTTATTTCTTTGGTGACAGATATTGGTCCCAAGATTCAGTATTTCCTTTTGTGTGACTCCCTTCCAGAAGATAGATGGCTGAGAGAAGATCTACAACGAAGGAGATTAGTAAGAATCTGCATGAATAATTATAAAATAGTAAATTTCGAAAGCACTTTCTTGGTGCAAACTTTGGCATGGTCAGGGGCGTAGCCAGGATTTTTGAAAAGTGGGGGGGGGTCACACTGTGTCAAAGTGAGGGTACTCAGCAGATGAACTCACCACCTGATGTAGGTTGTTTGCTTAAAAAAAGGCTTACAAAAGGGGGGTCACAGACACCTAAGGATCACTTCTAGCTACGCCCTTGACGGTTCAGGTGTGAACCTCACACCTACCAAGACCAATATATACAAAACATTTCACTACCATGTAATGTTTATTATTTTTTATTACATTTTATCATGGACATCTTTCCCACTGCTTGTGTTGATTTTCCAACTTCTTGACCATTACCTCCCTCCCTAGTATGTTAGTGAGGGAATCAGAGCAGCCAGTCTACTAATAAAGTGCACATGGGTGTCTCAGTCCTCTGGCAAGAATGAAATAAACTACAAAAAAAATAAACTAATTTTTCACCATTGTGGCCCAATATTCCAACATCTCTGGTTCCTATACCATGCTGTTTTAAGGTGTATTGTTACAGAAATAAGTGCTGGTCATCTGAGGGACCCCTAGGCTTGAACATACACTTTATCTTTACCTCTTCATCTAGCGTACAGTCCACATACCATCAAGGAACTAAACCCATCACATTGGGAAGAGTATTAAAGCATAATTTTTTGAAAAGAAAATAGTTAGCATAAATATTGTTGTTAATTTGTTATCTCAGATAATTTTGATGTCAACTACACATGTATGTGGTTCATTTTCTTCAGGGTAATTAACTTTTTTCAAATAAATTTAATTGAGAAATAGAAAACAAACCACGTATTTATATCAAACATCAACTTGGATCAAAAATTAACTTTAGCAATACGTGTCTTATGTTGCTGTAGGAAGATGTTTTGGAGTGTCAACAGCGTGAAAGATCAGACACTCACTTTTCAAGAACATGCCTTTTCTGTAAACAACATTTTGAAGGCAACAGGTGTGTTGAACATAGTCAGTTAGTCTTTCTTAGATCTAAAGTGTGGACAAAAAGAAGAATGCGGGATTGGATAATTACCAAGGGCACAAAAGTGGGATACAGTGCTTTTACGAAGTTTGAGCAACCATTTCCCAGCACAGTTGAACTTTTATGACCTTTACTGTGAAAATCAATTTTAATAACATTTAATATCATATATGGATTGTGCATTTTTTAGGGGATTTTCCTTCTCCAACCTGTGTGTATATGTATTAGTTATATATTATTAAAATTAACATTATTGAATGGTCTCTTTGTTTGGTCAGAACATCATTGTTCACACATATGGCAACTGATCACGGATTTAATGTGGGCCTTCCTGATAACTTAGGTATGTTTAATGTGCTTTCTATTATTCACTTGTTCATTTTTGCAACCACACCTTTAAGACTTTTTCCAATCTCTTTGTTATTGTCATCGGCCCATGTCCATTAATGCAAATGAGGTATCCAAGACATGTACCCTCTGGGTACCTATTTTTTTTTGTAGCCTCCTTTCTAGCAAAAAGGGATACCCTCATTATTTTAATATTTATTATCAATCAAGAATATTGGTTGGTCATTGTGTCATTAATTTTATGAAGATATTAAGCTATACCATAGATGTGCACATTGAAAATAAGAGAAAAGTAGAGTGGGGTATTTTTCATCGGCCCATGGCAAATACAGAGGTTTCAGACCACTTGTCTGTGGTTGAAAATTTGAACTTATTTTAGATTTTTTAGCGATTAGTGGATAAATCAGAACTTGATATGCATTTTTGACTATGATGACAACAAGTAGTGTTTTTGTTAGTGTATTAGCATTTCTGTGTAACATGTTATTCATCTTGTGTTTTATTATTGTATTTTCTATTTTCTTTTTATTTCATTTGCTTCAAATGTTGCATATGAGTTTGCAAACATCCACTGATATGAATTGCTTACAGTTAATGTTTTGAGTAAATTAATGGTTTTTCACTATTTTCTTTTTATTTTAGTGAATGTAAATGAGTTGTTAGATGTTCTGGAACAGAAACTAGCCAAGTAAGCTCTTGTGAAATATATCATTTACTAACATACAACAGACACATTACCCTTCTCTGTATGCATTCCATGCCTATAATGCTTGTACCATAACCCTGCAATGCACCACAGGGCTACAGGTACATAACATCCTTTAATTTCTTCCAAGCTTCCAGAAACCCAAATGTGGGATTTTAATTCAAACTTGAACAAGAATACTAAACATACTCTTAGTTGTCAAGGTTATAATGGTCCAACCATAGGCCTGCTAAGCATCCAGAGAGAGACATTGCACTCTCTTTAGGCATTGCATGCCTATAGTGATTATACCATAAGCCTACAATGCACGCAAACAGCTACAGCTACTTAGCACACATTGTATTCTCTGCACCCTTTGCTTGGACCATAGGCCTGCAAAGCGTCCAAAGAGCTGCAGCTACATAACTCATATTGCCCCTTTGTAAGCATTGCAAACCTGTAATGCTAGTACTGTAGGCTTGGACAGCTACATAACACAAATTGCACTCTCTGTATTATAATTCTTGGACCATAGGCCTGCAAAGCATCCAAAGTGTCACAGCTACATAACTCACAAACTTTCCCTTGGACAGAACATCTGTGTATAGACCTGTATGTGTGATATATGATTAGAGGTCATTTCTCCAGATATTTTGATGATCGTATGTTTTGTTGGTTGTGGAAATTGAGGCAAAAGTTTAGGTAAATCAGGATGAATTATTATTAATATAGCATTTCCGGGTATCCATTTTGTTTAGTTTCCTTTGTTTTTCCATCATCAATGATGAATTAGTTTAATACGACAAAGTGCAGTCAATTCTGAAAGGTGTTTTTGTATTATGGGAGTAACACATTTTTGTGATATGATAAAGTAGCTAGAGAATCTTCATTGCTACTGGTGTACTTAAAAGTTTCTTCTTGTCCCTGCAGTCTACAGTGTTTGTTTTGTGAGAAGTTATTTAAAGACAGAACAGCACTTAAAGATCACATGAGAAAGAAACAACACAAGAAAATCAATCCCAAGAATAAAGAATACGACAGATTTTATGTTATAAATTATCTGGTAAGCTTATTGAGATCAACATCTCTAATTACCTTTGTTGAAAATTTTGACTGGAATCGATATCTAAATCCTCTAAAGTTGTGCAGCAACCAGGGTCATTTTCTATGAGCAAATAGCCAAGAAGGTGTAGCCAAGTTGACTATCACTCATAGAAAATGAGAATAAAAACTCAAAAGGATTGCAGCACAAAACCTACAATTTTGTGTATTATTAAGCCTAGAATTGAGAATAATTTTCGGTTTCCAAAGCAGTGCTCGCCTACATCATCCTCTATCAGTGAATAGAGAGAACCAATCAAATTCACAGATTTCCAATAGAACACAGCTGAGTGGCTACTAATGCTATCTGATTTAAGTCGCTATCCAGTGGGTAAGTGATTAAAAGCTTTTGAGTGGATAGTGATTTATCAGGCGGAAAGCATTACTCATCCTTTGAACTACCAAAGCCAGATGTTTATCAAGGGACTCAGTGGTTTGATTTCAGTTTTTTTTTTTATATGAAACCAGTTTGGAGTTAGAACAAAGTCCTTTCAATTGGTTTATTTTAAAGAGGGATGAACATCTAATCTCTCCTGATAGTATTAACATATTCTTAAGTATTAACATATTCTTAAGTAACCAAGTGATGAGAATTTACAAAATCATAGAGAAGTTATCCTTGATCTACTTTGAAATCCTTAGAACTACATAGAACATTAAATGCCAGTATGAACAATTAATATTTGGAGGTTTAGACTGAAAAATATTAAGTGACTTTATTCCTTCTGTTTTTCCTACAAGGATTTTTAAGCCGTTTTTTAACTTTCTTCAATAACTAATTAAGGAAAGGGCATTGCCTCTATGACTGATTTAGTGATTTGCTCTTTTTTTTTATGACCATCAGGAATTAGGCAAAACATGGGAAGACATTCAGAATGAGAATGAAGAGGAGGAGGAGTATAGAACAGAAGGCAGTGCAGGGGAAGAGTGAGTTGAAATACCTTGACAATGAACTTAGCACGCGATGCTGGTGCTAAGTAATTTTCATTAGCTCAAGGGTAGATACATTAACCTACAATGGCGTGCATACCTGGGCCACCTTTTAACATCTTTTTGACAACAATCCAATAGGATCTACTTTTTCAACCAATAAAATACAATAGTTCTGTGTTTGTAGTTGCCATTGCAAAGTCCTTTGTGGTAAGTTTCTAAATGCGTAAGTTGTTCAAAGGCACAGCCGTCTTTGAACAAACCCACATCCAACCTTGTTCCCAGGGTCTCCCTGGAGCAAGAAAGGAGGGCAGGAAGATGAGAGACCCTGGGAATGAGGTTGAACTGCATCATAATGGTAAAGACAAGCACAAGCACAAGTACACATCCCATAAGGACAGAGTGAATAGTGTTCTCAAACCATCAATCATGCTGATGTTGATCATGATAAGGATGTTCTTCAATTATGAAGGACAGATAAACGTGTTGCCGTGCAGCTCTGTGTGGAGACGTAGTGGCCTTGTGGTTAGTGCGCTCGATTCCGGAGCAAGCAGTCCAGGTTTCAGCCCCGGCCAGGGACATTGTGTTGTGTTCTTGGGCAAGACACTTTACTCTCACAGTGCCCCTCTCCACCCAGGTGTATAAATGGGTACTGGCGAATTTAATGCTGGGGGTAAATTTATGATGGACAAGCATCCCATACAGGGGGGAGCAGAAATATTTCTATTTGCGTCATGCTGCAGAAACCGGGCTAATCTCCGGTCTGCTGGGCCACTTGGCTTGTATGCAGACTTTACCTTTATCTTACCTAAGCAGCTACTTGATTTTCATTGGTCAGATTAGTTAGATACTAGAATCCATGATTAGGTTGTGAGAATAAAACCTGTCTAAAAGACGTGGAAAAGATTGCACACATCGCTGTAAGAGAAACAAGTTGAAGGTGATAGGATGATGGGTATCGTCTCTGCGAGGTATTCTACAATGACTTTGTAGTCCAGCAACTGAACGCTTAAGTAGCTGCATTAGTTGAATTCGTCATTCACATAAGTTCAAACACTGATGCCATATGTATTTAATTTTTGTGTCCACAGCGACTGGAGTGACTGGACAGGTGATTTACCTCCGTCTGTTTGTCTCTTTTGTGAAACGTCCTCTCCTACAACTAATGAAGTTCTTCAGCATATGAGGGTTAGTTGTTAAGAAATGAGGGTTTTGCATGCTTCTTTTTTGTAAATACGTTTTCTTCAGTCTTTGTTGTTTGCTAGACATTACCCATAGATTGTGTTTTTTCTTCATAATCACCATTTCTTGTCATTGTTTTCAGCTCTGATATTAATATACTGATGCACTGATATTGTTTTTGATTAAACCTCTTTCCTTTCTTTCGTAGGAAAAGCACTTGTTTGATTTTCTCGCCATCAAATGCGCGCTAGGTATGTGTTAATTCTTTAGTTATCGTTCATATGAGTTTGGAAAAGTAAGATAAGTACTTTCCATGTATAAATTCTGAGATCAGATAGTGTATCATTATTACATCTTTTAAACATCAAAATTCATAACTGCAGGTAAACTTCTGAACTGTCTTGTGATTTTCTGTTTATTCCTTCAATATTAGGGTTAGACTTCTATCACCAAGTTAAAATTGTCAATTATATCAGGAGACAGGTATGTTCTCACAATGTTGTTTGTATAATTTTTTGTGCCAATCCTCTTATACCTTACTACTTACACACTCTGAAAGACTGTACTTCACCCCCCCCCCCCCCAAAGGGTGTGGTTTTTCAGCCGTTTTGGTCATAAATAGGGTATCGATTTGGCCATTTTGGTCATAAAGAGGTATGGGTTTGCACTCCAGTCTTGAATTGGGAGTGTTTTTGAAGACGAATTCACTTTTTAATCATTATCAATAAGACCATCAACAAAAGCCCTTCATAAATTATGTTTAGGGCAACTGTGCCAGCCACAACGGTCATAAATATGGTATCAAATTTTTGGTCAGGTCATAAATAGGTTAGGCAAAATCGCAGATTTTTGTCATAAATAGTGTAAGGTTTTTGGGAAGCGAGCCGCACACCCCCACCCAATTTTTCTGGGAGTACCCCCCGGACTTCACCGCTCTTAGTAAACATGTTTAAAACCAGAAATACGAGCGGGGTCTGATGAGAGAGCTAACAAGAGAGATTAGTATCCAGTCCCCCGTATTCATTCACGATTGAGCGACTGGGATGAGTTGGAGACTTAGGAATATTTGAAACTGATGGAATTGCGCGAATATAGACCAGTTTGTACAAAATAAATCAAACACGAAACCAATTAACGGTTTTACGGTAATAGATTATTGAAGTTACATTAGGCGCTTCCCTTTCTACCAAAAATTACGGAAATGCTGGAACCTTCCCTGCAGGAGCGAATGGTTTGAGAAATTTCCCGGCAACGTTTTCTGGAGTTTTCAAAAAATCCGAAAACTGCTTCATTTCCGACATGCAAACCATTCAACCGAAAATCCCGGTATACCTTGGTGTACTTCGTCGGTATACCTCGTGGGGTTGTCATCCTTTTAGGAAAGTGTGGAAACATTTTCCAGTCTGGCACCGTAAACCAGAAACTACATGTACTGTTCTACTCGCCATTGGAAATTTTCAGGAATTCGAATAGGGAAGCGAAGCGCCCTATTTGATGATATTCCTCTTGTCCCTGGCAGGTTTACAAGCAGAACTGTGTGAAGTGTCAAGAAAACTTTTCTTCGAGGCTTGCTGTCTTGGAACATATGGAGAAAGCGCAACACTTTGCCCTGCCTGAAGACAAAACGGCGTGGGATCAACCACAGTGAGTTTCTTAAGCGAATTTAAATCTCTTTTTGCTGTTTAACGCTCTCCGTACATAAATGAATGGCATCGATGCAGTGAATTGTGAAAAGGGTCATGACAAAAAAAAATTTTTCAGGTACTTTTTCCCGACGTATGAAAACGACTCACTGCTGTGCAGTTTGGAAGATGATGAGGACGAGGAAGAGAGAGTGGAAGACGAAGCCTCAACAAAATAATTAATTAATTAACACGATAATTAACGCCACATGAGATCAAATAAACGGAACTTGTATAAGGACACAAGTCTTGAGGGTAGCTGACTGTTGTTAGATTACAACCAAACGCTGACAACCTTACAAGTCGCCCGGCATAGTCAATCGGACCCACTATGCCGATTATGCCGGGAAGTCGAAATAAAAGCTTGATTTAGTAAGTTTTCGTACTACCGAATTTCGGACTGTGTTGGCAACTTGCCCTGGATTAGTTCGAGTGTTAGGGTTAGGAAGGAAAGAAGAAGCAAACAGTGATCTCACTAGCAAAATACAAACGAGAAGACCGAGAACGCAATGGAGTTCGCTCAGGGAGCAAGTGGGTGCGCAAGAGAAAGGACATGACGGGCCAGTGAAACGCTCGGAAATCCCGAGGAAACGGACGGGAAAAACGCGCAAGGAACTCTTGATTTAGGGCAGAGGGAACGCACCATGGAAAACGAGGGAACACATGGGGAAAAACAAGAAACGTCGACAATATACGACTGAACACACGGCGCCACTATAGCTGACATGGGGACACACGATTTAGTTTAAGAAGTAACGTTTGGAACCTTTAAGAAGTGAGGACGTATTGAGAAATACACAGGAAACACTGGTGAAACTAGTGAAATCGACGCCAGAATAATTATAAAATAATTATTGAAATTCAAAATATTTTGATTTAAAGCACTTCATATCTGTATTGAATCACACTTTTGTGCAGAAAAAAAAGTCGTCCCCGGGTGGGCTTGAACCACCAACCTTTCGGTTAACAGCCGAACGCGCTAACCGATTGCGCCACGGAGACAACCTCTACAAATCGATGGAAAGTACGGTTACATCAATTAAAATTAGCTTCGAACATAAACGAATTGTGGCGAGATGGAGACGCCTTCAAACACTGTATGCATAACCAGAAAAAGATAAGTATGAATTTTCACTACTCTGTTCTTTCGGGAAACGTCTTTTGTTCGTCTCTCCAAAAGGATAGTTTGATTTTGAACCCAGTTCACATGCTTCCTTGAATTCCCGGCTTGAATTTAATAGTGGGGAAGGTCTGGGCCTTGGTTGGGGTAAATTGAGGGCAAACTAACAGGTAAACCCGAAATATTCCCCACCGCACATAAAAAGAAAAAACAAATAGACCACCTTACATGTTTTATTATCGCGAAAATAACTTAGTACATCAATGATAAAACTTGTTAAAATTACCGCTTAGTGACTAGGTCACACAATACATCCAATTTCAAAGCTACTTTGTCTTACTGAAGAACTATCCACAAAAACCTTTAACCGTGTAAAAACGAGTCTAAAAAATAGCATTAATATTTCGCCCAAGATTCTGAAAGGAGCTTGAATCAAACTGTAACTTAATGAACTATAGAAGTGATAAGTGAAACGGTTTTTATCCTAACCTATATTACACACAAGTTGTGAGCGAAAACTTCACGGTGCAAACCTTACACTTAACAGTACAGCACCACACGAACTTACATCTACACTTGACTTGCTTCTTATGTTCTACTGTTCGGTGTCGCAGATTACAAGAGTTACAAAGAGACCTGCATTCCTCAGAGGATGAATTTTCACCTTGGCATGTCCTTCCCAGCATTCCAGGCGAGCCGGCGGTCGCGTTCCGTACACAGTAGTCTGGGGAAGAGTCGAGATAGACCAGCTTCTTTTCTTTTTTAGTCACCAGTCTGTCTCGTTTGTTGTCTCGTTTGTGAAGCTTGTTGTTCAGGAATGATACACGGACAGCTGAGCTGTATTTCCGTTTTAGTTCTGATCCAATCACGTTAAAGGGGGCCAGTTGCTTCCAGCAGGTTTTCAAATTGCAACCTCCGGTGACGCCATGACACTTGCATACTTTCCTGAGGCTTGCTCGAACAACCTGTTATCAATTGATAAAAATGACAACAGGCCATGAGAGATGGTAGTCAAAAGACGCTGTTAATATGGGCGATATGAAAAGTGCCCTGGACAGTTGTTATTTTGGTTTTGTTTCAGTTTTTATCTTGTTTTTGCTGCAAGAACGCATAGTTATCTAGGACCTGGCATTACATCAAGCCTTCGCTTTAGGTCACACACAAAGAAAAACTCTGACATTTGTCCCCACCCCAACTCCCGCCCAAAAACAAAAACAATAACTAGCTAAAGATTCCAGCCTCAGACACGAAATTCTCTTGTAAGTCTAAATCATCTTTAGACCAAACCAAAATTGATTTCCTTTAAGTTTAAAAGTCTCAAGGGTGTTTTTTAAGCCAAACACAAATTACAATCCAT